GCTGGAGGCTGTGGGGGCGGGTCTGTGGGGTGTGGGGGGCACACGGCTGCACTCGTGTGGACATGGCATGCACGCGCTCCAAGCCCCCGCCGCTCTTGCACCCACTCCCCTCCCCTCCCAGAGCTGGGGAGAACCCAGGCGTCCGGGGTCCCAACCCCGCCACCCCGCGCTCTCGTCCCCCAGCCTCCACTCCCCTCCCAGTGCTGGAGGGAGCCCAGGCGTCTGGGCTCGTGACTCACCTGGGCTCGGAGGCTCCTGCGGCCCTCGGGTCGCAGCTGGGCATCTTCCTGGGCTCGGGGGGATTCGGGCGCCTCCAGGGAGCTCCCATGACTGATGGTGTCGTTCTGGGGGGAGAGGGGGAGCAGGGTCAGGACCTGGCCCCAGTGCCCCAGCCCCACGGTATGAATGGCAGGGGCGTTAATTCCCCAGGGTGGAGCAGTCACGGATGGAAGCGCTTCAGTGCCACGAAGGGCTTGGCCTGGGGAGAGAACCCGTGTTCGGGCTCTCAGCCCCCCTCCCCCCATACACTCACCTCCGTGCTCCGGGAACGAATCAGGTGCTTTGTGCCTGGGGGCGGTGGGGGGGAATAAAAAACCCCATTACCCTCTGAACTCCCCCCTGCCATTGCCTCCCCTGCCCCTCTGGGCTCAGCTGGGAACTCCCCCTATGGCTGAGAGCAGTATAGGGCGTAGGACACACAGTAGAGAAGCTCCCAAGGCAGCCAGCAGGGGGCAGCCGTGGGGGTGGGGCAGCCAAGCCCCACCTTGCATAGGGTTAACCCATCCAGGCCAGTACGGGAAACGGAGGCAGGGCAAAGCCCCAGACACTTGGGTTCTGTCCCCGACGGCTTTTGAGCCGAGAGTGGGGGGCTCAGCTCGTGAGACAGGGGATCCCCCACCTGGGACCACCCCCGCTGGGCCCGCCGCCTGGGTGCCTCACCCTCCAGCGTCCTGGCTCTGAGCTCGGCCTTCAGCTTTTCCAGTTCCTGGCCCAGTGCCTGGTTCTGGGCTTCCAGCTCCTGCAGCTGCCTGGGAGAGACCCCTGGTCTCAGTCCCGACGCCTGGGTTCTCCCCGGTGCTGGGAGGGGAGTGGGACCAGGGGGCGTAGGGTGGGCAGCCGAGGGGGCCGGGACGCCTGCGCTCCCCCCAGCTCCGGGAGGGGCCCGGACGCCGGGGTCCCGCACCTCTCAGCCGCCTGCTGGTCAGCCCGGCTGCGGCCCAGCTCGTCCTGCAGCTCCTGCCGGGCCCGGCTCTCCGCCTCCAACCCCCCATGCAGCTC